TTCCTGCTCGCCTTGCAATATGCAGAAGCTATGTCTTCAAGAGAAAACACTGACCCAAATGCATCAAGCAAGCACTTCAATGCTTTCTCTTCATCACATTTCACAAGGTTCTGGCCAGAGACTTCCATCCCAATTTAATCTGTCACGGGAAATGAGACACAATAAAGCTACTACAATTAATCTAATTATCCCAAAAATTGAATGCGAAAGGGGGAAAATTGATCACATCCCAAGATTAAGCATGAAAGAAAGGTAGAGAATGCACCTGCGTGTGGCACTGAAAGGGAAAGGGTTGCCTTGGGAATGGAATGACTGGAGCACTCAAAGTACCAAAGAAAAGCTTAGTCTTTGTGTCATTTCTTCTTGGCAAAGAAAACATGATAAAAGAATCATCATATTCTTATTCTTATTTATTTCTCAAAGAATTGTAAAATAAGAAAATTAGGAATCAAGGTGGAGCAAGACAAAAAGATAGAAGATAATGTGAGGGAAGAACGAAGTTCGTGTGATGTTTTGTCACGCAAATTGCCAAATCAGTGGCGAAGCAAAGCAAAGCAAAGAAAAGAAATAGAAATGGAGTGAGTGACACCAAAAGGAACGAAAACATACCTGATACCTGGAACTGGGCAGGGTGTGAGAGAAGTGAGAAGCCCAACACCTTTGCTAATCTGCTTTAGTATTTATAGATAAATAAAAGTCGAAATAATATGACAAGTCATAATAATTATGTAGTTCAATCATATTTGTTAGAAATAAATATTTACTTCTTACTTCTTATTTAATATATCTAATTTTTAATAAATTTTGATTGATAAAACAAATGTAAAAAACAATGTACTAATAATAATAATTGAATGAAGACTTTTGAGAAAAAAAAATGGAAACATGTATGTTTATGAGTTTTTAACTTTTATAATAATTAGGTGTAAAAAAACTTTTATAATAATTATTTTAAAAGTTATACTTTTAAAATCTTTATAAAAAATAAATAATTTTTTATCTTAAATATAAGTTATATTCATAAGTAAAAACATTGTGTGATGTTGAATCCGATTGTTTAAACTTAAAATAAAAAAGTTTTTAAATAAGTTTCTAATTAATCACTTATTTTATTTTATTTCTAGAGAAAAGTATAAAGTGTTTTTTTCTTATTAGTATACCATAATTATTGTTAGAAGTTAAAAATATTGACTTTATATTTTAATGAACAAACTAATGAAAAATATTTTGTAAAACTCAACTAAAATTTCTACATTTTATATGAATCAAAACCAATATCTCAAATTTTAGAAAAATAAAAAATTACAAAAACAAAAATCAAAATACAATTATTTTGCAAAGACTAAATATATATTTAAATTTGTAATTTACTTATTATAAATTTTAATTATATTAAAAAAATTATCAAGTGGATTGTGTATGTTAAAATATATATTAATTCTTTCTTTAGAGTATGTTTAAATAAAATTTTCTAAAAAACACTTTTAGAAAAAATAAATAAGAAAAACATAAAATAAAGTTTTCAAAAAACCAATGTTAAGTTATGTATAAATTAACATTTTCAAATTTTTGTAAAAAAAAAACTTTTCAAATTATATATTTGAACGTTAATTTTATTTTATAAAAAAAACTTTTTTCTTTTAAAAAATCCAAATAATTTCTTAATCACACGTGTCACATCTACTTTGGAGTTGGCACAAAACAACAACTTCCTCGACAAGTTTTTCATCTCTCTCCCCAAACAACTTTCTCGACAAGTTTCCATCTCATTCTCAAAAGTTAAAAAAAAATAAAAATAATATATATATATATATATATATATTTTAAATATGTTTTTAGTCCCTCAAATTTAAGATAAACTTGTTTTTAGTCTCTTAGTAAATCATTTGTTAAAATTATAAATATGTTAATTAAGAATGTCATTGATTTACGTGCGTCAAGTATCAAAAGCTTTAGTTATGAGTGTAATTGATGTAGAGTGTCATTGATGTAGAGTATCATTGATGCAGAGTGTCATTAAATTATGCGCGTCAAGAATCTAATGCTTCAGTGCAGAGTGTCATTGATGTAGAGTGTCATTGATTTACGCGCGTCAAGAATCTAATGCTTTAGTTATGAGTGTCATTGATGCAGAGTGTCATTAATTTACGGGAGTCAAGAATCTAATACTTTAGTCATGAGTGTAATTGATTGAACCCTATCTCCACCTTCTATTTAAATGAGACCATTCATGGGTTCAAATACAAAGTGCAATTGAGCCAAGTATTCATGTTTTTGTGTGTTAGTCTTTGTCTACAACAATGTCTTCCTCTTCTTTCCATGTGTTAGTCTTCTTCAATGGTGAAATCATTCAAACAGACGAAGGGGATTCTTTCCGTGTGTTAGTCTTCTTCAAGACGGTAACAACAAAATCTTTTCAATTGCAATTGTAATTGTTGAGGGTGAAACAGTAGGTGCATGGTTTTTCTTTCTACATTACCTCAAAAGACATGTTTGCCCTCAAGATGACCTACGCTAGACAAGGCAGTGGTTGGACATCGGAGAATTCAGTGCATGTGTTCTATATTCACCACATTGCTCAAAATTTCATGAGACATTTCAAGAATGCAGAATGAAAAAAATTAACCATCAACATAGATATGTACTTCTTATCATTAATTATTTTTATTTGTTTGACCATATTTCAACAATACTAAATTGTTCATTTTTTGCTTATCTAATTTTATGGCTTATGGGATGACTGAGCCAAGATTCAATTACTACTACAACACATTGAGGAGTGAACCAAAAACTGAAGGTGTAATTGAATGGCTCAACACTATACCAAAAGAACAAGAGTCGGACTCTTGCATGAGACGATGGCTAACGATGGGGACACATGACTACCAATTTGATAAAGGCAATAAATTTCATTCTTAGAAAAATAATAAATTTGTCAATTTCTGCAATTATCATGTAGACTTATAAGAGATGTAATGCCTTATTCATCCAAAGAGGGAAGGAAGTCGATGCTAAGCTTAGGATTGACCAAGTTTATACTGAAATAATCAATAAGGCCATGATAGATGTAGAATCGAAGACTAATAGTCATCATGTCCTCGAATTTGATCATCACAGTATATGTTTTCTGGTGCAAGAAACCATTAACCCAAAAGAAACACAACCGACTGAAAATTTCACGGTTGGACTACATGACAAGTGGTGTGACTATGGGAAATTCAAGAAGCTACACATGTCATGCTCCCATGTTGTTGCTACATGTAAGCATGTTCACCACAATTACAAATCTTACATAGATCATGCCTATACATTACAATATGTTTCAAATGTGTATAACAAATTATTTGGTGAACTACCCAACGAATCTTATTGGCCGGGTTGTGAAGAATCGCAAATCATGCCAAATCTTTTTTTGGTTCGTCCCTTGAGTATCCATCGCCGATAACAGTGACTAATCTCCTCGCTACGTTGGAGGCACCTCAAAGGGTAAGATAGCTGACCCTAAGATTTAACGCGACTACATACACAAGGCAGGATTCGAACCCCTGACCTTGCTTAAGCGTGGATCAACCCCTACCACGCAAATCATACCAAATCTGAAAAAGATTAGAAATAAAAAAGGTCGTCCAAATTCATCCAGAATACGCACTGAAATGGATATCAGGACAACCACAAAGATGTTCTCTATGTAAGAATGTAGGCCACTCTAAGAAAAAATGTCATTATCATCAAGGAAGTTCAAGTGAACAAGTTTAAATTAATAATCGATTGTTGTGTGTCTTTCAAAAATTTCATATTCTGTAATTTTAATTTTTCCAATAAATTTGTACTTTTTTTTTTACCATTTCTAATATTTAATATAATAACATTGTCATTTATTTAAAAATAAATATAATATTAATTTTATTATTAAATATTATTCTTTAAAAATTATTTATTTTAAATATTAAATATATTTTTTATATTCTAAAAATATAAAATATATATTTTTAATTTTTAAAATCAAAAAATGAAAAATGAAAAAAGGAAGTCCATTGAGAAATCGGTTACTGGGTAACCGATTTCTTACTAAATC